CCTTGCATAAGAAAATGAGATAGAAGAAGAAAATAAGGATAAAAACAATTGGCTATAAAAGCTAATTGATATATACTTGTGTAACACATACCAACAACAGCAAAACGTAGAATACATTCATCTGTATTACCGGTCGGATCTGATGCTCTTATTGTAGTTTCGTATGGCGGAAAAAGTCGTATCGGGAACACATCACCAGATTGGTACGGAAAACTTGTGATATGCGAAACTCCGCTATTATCAGTAGCATTTACCGTCCATGTGATTGTGGCATTCGGGCTTCCATCGTCAATAGAGATCAGCATAAAACCGTATTCCATCTTATAGTAGTTAGATGTTTCCTGTGGACACTCTAATTTCGGTGGCTCTTTATCTACAGTCAAATTAAAAAAGTTTAGATTAGGCCTAGGTTACTGAACTGATTAGATAATAATAAATTTAATCTGTTAACAAAATACACAACTTTTGTCTGCACGAAACAAATATTTATCATATAATATCATTGTAAGAATAAAGTAAGCATACATAGATCAGTAGGTCTACATATTGTATCAAGCTCAGCTAAACACGTTTTTAACAATTTTAAATTACCATAGTGTAAAATGTTATCAACAGAATGAAGCAACGTTTCTGCGAAGGACAATTTACAAGTGCGATTACTACTGTACTATAACAGTACAATAACTTAATAACTTTGCAATATTTTGAAGTTTTATTTTTTTTTTATTAGCGATTGTTATATTGCTAGGGAGTCATATAACAGAGGTCACATTAAACAAAAGTTCAGTGAAACATAATTTTTTTAGTTTAGGAAACTATAACCTTTGTTTTTGTAGGTAGGCTACTTAATTTGTGAGATCCAGTACCATTTAATAAGTATATTTTCATAACAAGGAGTTCAACGCTTGTAGTGACTATAACTCCGTTCTGTTTTTGCGTTGTGTGTTTATAATTAACCTTAAGATAAAGTACAACGTAACTGTGAATTCCCATTTAATTATTTTTTCCTTTTTGTAAAGATAATAATTTTGAATTTCAATGTTCTTATAAATTGTTTTTAACTCTTTTATACAAATTACTATTTTAAATGTACGTTCTATTTTTCAATAATTGTTATATTGTATTATCAAAATTATGTATTTTCATTTGTAAAAAAAATTCAAGTATCTTGTGGATGTTTCCCGCTCGATTAAATTCGTAACGCTCTGAATCTTGAGGATATTTCCCGCACGATTAAAATCGTAATGGTACTGGGTTTGGTCTACAGTACCGTTACGAGTTTAATCGTGCGGGAAATATCCTCAAGATCCAGAACCGTTACGATTTTAATCGTTCGGGAAACATCCTCAAATTGCAGTAATATCGTAATGTGTAAACCTCTTAAGCTCTATCAACTTTTCTTTGACAAAAAATCTGTCGTATGCTCATATATATTCATGATGTGCCTATATATGGTCATGATGTGATGTCATCATGACTATATTTCGACATGTCACAGGTTTTTGTCAAAATAAAATTTAACATGCTGGAAAGGGCTTTACAGACTAAGAATATATTCTGTGTAACGAATGGGCATGTCACAAATCGTAAGTTAATTCTGTACTGTATAACAAATACTTATTGTCGTATCATAAAGACAAAGACAAACCTACCCATGACGATTACTTTGAAGGTACAGTAAGCAGTGTTGCCCGCATAATCAGTGGCCCAGTATCGTACATTATGAGCCGTGCTGTTTCCGTTCCTGAGATAAAACCTATTTCCTGGCGAATCTGATTTTCCTCTGTATTTAATACCTTTATTATCTCTTGCCCTTGGCTCCCTCCACCTGGCTGTTTGGTAATTTGTTCCGGGGTTCGTAACAACAGTTATGTCGTCTGGACATAGATCAAATCGTGGATATACATCTGGATTTTATTCAAAAAATAAAATATAATATATAATCAATATGTAACAACAGCTTATGGGGTCAACAGCTCATAGAGTTTTGTAGGCCTTCTTTACTGAGTGAGTAAAGAGGGCATTGTCAAAATTTAGGCCCACAATCATAACTATGAAATTACATTCATTAAACAAATAATAATATTTCCCTGATAGTAGGCCTAATTAAAAAAAAAAGTTAGGTCGTTTATTTTGCAAGGCCGAATATGGCACTTTGAATTTTCAAGTTCGCTGCTTTGCATTTGGCCTTCGGCTATAAACCAATTAAGAATGCGCTAAATGTTAACGTTTTAAGCATTGGGCTTTTAATTGTGTAACTTTAAAATGTTATTATTTCTAGATTGTTTGTATATACTGTAGGCCTACTCTAATATCTTATATTTTTTCTATTGAATGTTCCTTATTTTGTAATTACAACAATTTCAGGTAGAGCTGATATTTGTAAATGTACGGTATCTTTAAACTATATGAATAAATGAATAAATATATAAATGCATGAATGAATAAATGAATGAATGAATGAATGAATGTATTCATTCATTTTGTAATTACAACAATTTCAGGTACAGCTGATATTTGTAAATGTACGGTACCTTTAAACTATATGAATAAATAAATAAATATATAAATCCATGAATGAATGAATGAATGAAGGAAAGAATGAATGAATGAATGAATGAATGAAGGAAAGAATGAATGAATGAATGAATGAATGAATGAATGAATATTAACTTATGTTTTCGTACCATCACGACAATTGTCTGCTGATTCGTCGTCTCCATATTCGCAGTCTTTACTTCCATCACACACCCATGTAGCTCCAATACATCGGTCAAGTGTACAATAATACTCATAAGTACCACAAAAACCTTGGACGAAATTTAAAAATTAAAAAAGTTAAAAAAAACCCCAATTCTGATAAAAGATAGTGCTCAAATTAGGCATCGCAACACAATATATTGATTATACGCATAGTAAAACAATGCAGAGAAATCAGGATTCGGAAGAGTAAAGTCTATAATACATTTTTTTTAATAAGAACCAGTAACATTTTGCCCAGGTTTCGTGTTCTTATTAGTTTGCTGATTTCAGGCTCAACATTTTCTTTTGTTCTTATTTTATACACTTTTCAAACATATAAAATTAATATTGTACATTAATATTTTGCTGTGTAGAGAATATTGCATAGTCACACCAACTCTAAATGAGGTACAGATAAGATTTTTTAATTTTTCTATTTAATAAAAAAATAAAAACCCCATTTTACAATTTACTTCAGCTTCAATTTGTTTTCTCATTTTGTTCTTAACTTTTAAGCGCTTTCAGCCTCAGTGTTCTTATAAAATGTGTTCTTATATAAAAAGAGTGTATAATAGAAAAAGAAAAGTAACAGAACATTGTCAATTTGCAGACAAAATAATTATTTATTTACGAATTATTTTGAAATATGAATTTTTAGTTCAAGCACAAGCCATTTCAATTAAATACAATAATAATATTATTTATTATTTTTATAGCATCATAAGTAAACCGGTAAACCGAAAAAAATAGTAAACCAAAATATGGTAAAACAACAAATCGGTATGTCGATTATACCAACCAATTGATAATTTAATAAAGTTTTAAATCAATTTATCGATTGTTATGCATGTAAATTTTAGTGGAAAGGAATCTGGTGTTAAAAACCGCATGACAACCGACATTAGGATTGAAACGGACCGGGTGACAAACGACAGGATGGCAAAAGACTGTGACAAAGAACTGGTGGATAACTAGGGCTAATTCTTAATTTTTAAAATTTTATTTATTTTTCAAACAAACATTTTTGTTTTAAAGTACACATTGAGGATGCTCTTAGAGAAACTAAAAACAAACAGTAATGTACTGTTCTTAAACACCAAAATGCAAGGTGGTAATGGTATCTCTCTCGTATCAGGCCGTGCCATCTTCATTAAACTCGACGGGTAGGCCTGTCCGGGATACTAATGGCACCTTTATCGGAGGTCGGATTTCAGATTATCAAATCAAGTATCAAACAGAGTGATTAAAAAAATGTTTTAGGACATCTCTTATGTAGGATAGGCCCCTGGATAGGCTAACCTACATCGACGGCCTTCAAGACTTCCGCATTAGCCTATGCACCGGTTGGTAGGTACCGGCAAGAGCTATCGCTGATCGATACAATAGACACAAGGGAAATATATTAAAACTGGACAAAGGTGGAGGAAATATTATGATAGTTGAAGGCTACAGAAACGAAAAACCTCTAAAATATTTTGGTAAAATGGCAGAGGTGGATTCAAGGGGGTGAGGAGCCAGACTAGACCCCTATAAGTATTTGAAAAAGAATAAGAAGGAAACTGCATACAATTTTGATAGTGACCATTTTGTTTTCTGGTCATTTCTGCAATATTGCGTCCACAGCCAGTCCCCCCACCCCTACTAATTCGAAGTCCTGGCTCTTGGCATTTTGGGCTGAGGTGCACTTGATGAAAATCACAGGCCTACAGTATTTTATATATTAATAGAAAAATATTAAAATAAACTTACTTCAAATGATGCTAGAATCTCGATTATATTACCGGGAAGGTGCTATACCAACTTACCTTAGGGCCTACTGTATAGATAATATCATAATTATTTAATAATAATTTATTTGGATCTACATCTTTTTATCAGTGGCACACTTTTTAATGGAAAGTGCGTCCAGAACAATCAATAAAAAACAGAGTAAACAGAGGGAAGTTCAAATCAAACGAATAGTAAGTAAATATAGGATATGTTTAGCCAGGTAAAATTGACTACAGAGTCATCTTAATCTAAACACTTATTGCTGAAAAATCATACATAACACAAAAATAATGAACATTAGCAGAATCATGAAAAACATATATACATAATGTACATAGCCTATTACCTACAAATAGGTAATTACCTACAAATAGGTAATTACCTACAAATAGGTAATTACCTTCAAAGAGGTAATACCAGAGCAGCAGGAACAAAAAAAATGTTTTAAACATCATTAATTCTATTTTAAATCGCATTTTTTACTAAGACCAGCCACTCTGATAGTTTGCCTAAAATTTCTTTTTAGTGTCAGTAAACCTCACCTAAACCTCCAACAACGAGGCAGCAACAGACCAGTAACCTAAAGATAGCGGATAACATTTCGAAGCAGCCGAGTCAAAAAGGCAGTAACATTTGAGGGTAATTATATTTTGCCAGAGTTTAAGATACCAAGAGCAATTTCCGCTCTCGAAGTTTAATAGTGATAACCGAGGGCGCTCTAATACCCGTACAGTGCTGGGGAGGATTAGTTAACTAAAACCGTTTGATACTCTAGACTAAATGTTTTGTATTACCTCTGCATTGGCTGACATGACACTATAATTATATATAATAAAATAGAAACTACAGTTAAACTATTTTAAAGGATATTTCTATTATGAGGACACGTTTCAGATGTACGGCGGAAACTTTGAAATCCAGTCTCGGAGGAAAAATTTTTTTTTGTTTTTTGTTTTTTTGTTTTTTTGTTTTTGTGTTGGTAATGATTTCCTAAGATACAAAAAGGATATTTGACGGAAAACTCAAGAACAGTTAATGAGATACAGATTCTTGAATATTTAAAGACTAAAGGGAAAGGGTGCATAACCACCCCTTTTCTACTATTATCTTTCCAGTTTTTAATATTAATCTGCATTAACCGTTCCCGATGGTTTAGGCCTATCCATGTCAGTTTCCAGTTGGATTTGTAGTATTTTTCGTAATCAAGCTTGTTGGCACCAGTCACATAGCTATTGGATTGGTTTTCCTTGGGTCTCTTTGAAAAAGTATGCCTACTCATATTGGATTGCAATTTTCCTACTAGGCCTGTAAAGTGAAGTGGATATTACCACAACCGTATAGGCTACACCATATCACTCCTCTTATGGTTTTGAACAACGGAAACCCACTTTTACTTATTGTTACTCTACCTTAGCGAACGGCAGTCTGTAGAAAGTCTACAACGTTTGAAACCATGCCATTTGCATGCCTACTTTTATGAGGTGTGCGTACATTACTTACTGTAATTATAATCAGGTATTTAAAAATTCAAGTATCTTTTTGATCAACTTTGCTGCTAAAACTGAATTAGTTTGATGTTTACATAAATTTAAGAAGTACATTTATAATACAAAGCAAAGAACAACTAACAACATTCGTTGAGATCTGCTACACGATGTACTCCTTTATTCGATATTCACCTTTTATTGTCCATGGTTAGCGACGAGGGCGTATCCCCATACTGTCGTTAGGGGTCTGGGTTGGCTTGGTACTTTCATCCTTATTATTTTTTTTCTTTTACATTTACAAACATCTTTACACTTGTGTTTACAGCGCATAGAGACTTTGTATTTTGCTCTACTTAGGCCTACATTTAAAACCATTAACCATTATTAAGAATCATTTCTGGTTATTTATTTTATTGTGTAAAAACATCAACAATAGGTTTATAACATAGAATAATACAAACTTAGAACAACGGTGATGTTACTCAATCATTAAATATTATTTGAATTCATTTGTTCATCTCTTGAAAAATGTAACCTATCAGTGTTCCCATGCTCGGAACAGTATCGTATTGGGGTGTATGAACTTTACGATACAGAATTGTACATGATCAATTATCAATAACTACAGAAACTAACAGGAACTTAACTATGTATTTTGTTCTACTTATGCCTACATCCAAAACCATTAACTATTATTAAGAATAATTTCTGGTTAATTATTTTACTAAGTAAAAACATTAACAATAAGTTTATAACAACTTTGAAAAACGGTGATGTTACTCAATCATATTATAGGAATGTATTCTCTTATTCATCTCTTTAAACAACCTAACCTATCGGTGTTCCCATGCTCGGAAAATTATCGTTTATGAACTTTACGATACAAAATTGTACATGATCATCAATAACTAACTATAGAAACTATACGAAACTATATTTCAAACAATCAATGTGCATTATGAAGACAATTATTTAAAAAGTATATTATTAAAGTTTCATTATTGTATTTAAAATTTAAGATTAAACATTCCAAATACTTAAAAAAATCAAAACAATAATTAAAGGAGTTTTATAAGTTAGAGGCTGACTTTACAGCTACGAGAAAGTGAATTTTACAAAAATTCGTATTTCCCGACTCATCTTCGGCAGTATACTCCACTTCATACGGAGGGTAGAATCTTGGCGCGAAAGTATCTCCAGATTGGTGAGTTGACGTCACACTCACCACACGTCCGCTATTATCCGAGACAGTAGGACCATCCCAAGTGACTGTACTAGTGGAAGAACCTGGATCGAGTGCAGCTCTATTAATGCCGAATAATGTGTCGTAGTAGTTTGTGATGTTTGTCGGGCATGTGATAGTTGGCGGTTCGATATCTGAATTAAAATGTACAGAAAAGCAATCCGATTTTCAGCATTTCGATAAATTAACAAATATCAAACAATGAATTGATATTTTAAAGGTTGCGGCAAAACATATACTTTTGAAAAAGACATCTAAGGTACTAATTGAGCATTGAGTAACATCGACATAAACTTTGGACACAACTTGTACTTGCGTAAAAAGTCCATACCCTAATGAAAATGAATGTGCTTATCTATTTATTTGTTATACTATTTTAAGAGGGTAACACATACAGCACAAAGCTGACTGGAAGAGGCCCTTTGTGTAAAGTACAATAATACATAACAAAAAGGCTTACCTATTACCGTGAAATATACGTAACAGGATTTGCTATTGCCAATCAAATCGGATGCAGTAAACTTCACAGTGTATGGTGGGAATGCTCGAAGAAGAAACTTATCACCAGATGTATATGGGTAACTTTCCCACGTGACAGGCCCTTCACTATTGTCCTCGACTTTTGGAGGCGACCATATGACTGTTGCGTAAGACTTTCCATAATCAGTAACAAGGCGATGAAACCCGTATATATAGTCGTAATAATTAGAGAAAGTTCTAGGACAAGTTATTGTCGGCCTTTTAGTATCTGAAATAAGATATAAAACAAAATATTTCATGTATTAATTCACATACATAAAAACCGATCGTTAAAGTTAACATACACATTCCAATGCTGTCTATCATAGTTTTGTTTTGTGGCTTGTTAATTGATATGTGCAATACAAGAATTTGTGAGAAATCTAGATAATATTAACTTCCGTCAGGTGGCAGACAAATCTTTACTCGATAAGTTCAAGATATTTTGGGTCTTAAAATGTTTTGGTTATGATATGTCCGCGGCAGAATTTTGGAAAGTATTGGTTACAAAATGTGAAATGTCATGCCAATTCCGTCATCTTAAGTGAGGTTGATCCGCAAGAAGATTATTCTCGTACTTCCTACTACACAAATACTGTAGACGTATAACTATGTTCTGCACAAGAGAGTTCCACCAGAATGGTAATAGCCATAACAATTGAAAAGGAAATCAATTCAGGGGAGTGGTGAAAAATGCTCAGTTGTATAAATTTGTGGAAAATTGAACAGTGCTTGAAATACATCTGTCACAACTGCTATTCATTACTAAACAGTGTATTGATATTTGTATAGAACCATTGACAGAGGTTTGCGGCATAGCGGTTATTTGATGGATGTGATTAGAGTTGAAAAAAGCGCTACTAATTACTAAATACAGACATTTTACTGGAATTTAAAGTAAATTGCCTTGACTTAAAAATCACTACTAATTATGTTTACCTTGGACAGTGACTTTGGTGAAACATTTTCCTACGTTCCAAGCTAAGTCTGTCGCCATGTATTCAATAAAAGTTGTACCAACAGGAAAATTTCCACTTTGTGCTAGAGTGATAGACTTGTCATTTAGTAAAGAATTAGTTGAGGTAACACGAGAGTCGTTTGTAAAGTAATGGACTACTGCAATATTATCACTAATCGTGATGTCCCAAGATACGAGTGCAGATCGTGTTTCTATATGGGTTGGACATTCAACTGACGGACTTTCCAAATCTAAACAGGAAAATATAAAAACAAATTTAAAATTATTATCAACACTCTCATTTTAATTTCTCACATTATTCCAAATATGATAAAGAATTAGGTTTGTTAATAGATTTTCTGATTTCCTTAAAAAATAATTAAAAAAACAATTATTATATATGATTAAGACGGAATAAATTATGTTTTTTATGTAATGTTTGAAACATTATATAGTGTATACATTAAGAAAAATTCAATTTGCAAACCTTGGACCGTAATGAAGAATGAACAATATCCCGGATTTCCAGCTTCATCGATTGCAGTGTACGTGATCTGATATGCAACATTACTGGCGCGAAATACGTCACCAGGTTTGTAATTTGAAGTAACAGAGGCCACAGTGCCGCTGTTGTCGGTAGCATTAACTGGTGGCCAATCTAGCCTAGCAAACCTGGAGCCTCTGTCTGTGGACACTGACCAAGCGGAGTTAGATTCTCTTGAAGCAAAGTTGCTCGAGTGCGATGGGCAATTTACAACAGGGCTTTCATTATCTACGATAAAATAAAAATGAATCATCAGAAGCTTACATTTACAAACCATCAGTGCTGACAAATGGTGATGGTATCAAACAATGGACAAATGAGAAGGCAAGGAAGCTAAAATTAAGGATTTTCCTAATAATGATTTAGAGGATAGATAGATAGATAGATAGATAGATAGATAGATAGATAGATAGTCACTTTATTTATTCACAAAAACTCATTCAATAATAATAATAATAATATTGTTCTACCATAAGAACGTGATTAAAAACATCATAAATACATGAAAAACAGGTTAATATAAAAATATCAAATAATACATTATAAAAAAACTACCATAAAAATGTTAAAATTGACATCATCAAAAAGCTAAAAATGACATAAAAATGCAAGAAACAAGTCATATCAAAGCAGGAATGGGAAAGGGGAAAAATAGTGACAAGACGCGCAATATATTGGGGCACATTATTATTATTATTATTATTATTATTATTATTATTATTATTAATATTCATCACCACCACCATTATTGCCGAAACCATTGTTATTATTGTTATTAATATTATTGTTATTGGATTACAATAATTGGAATACATACGTCTTCAAATGAATTACATTAGTAGCGGAACAGAAGTTCAAAGTATATTGTTTATGATTATTGTACTTCAGCGCTCCATCAAAAATAAGGTAGAGCTCAACAAATGTCTAATACCAAATACCGCCGCTTTACTACTGTAAGACATCAGGAGACCCGAGTTTCAATCCTGGTTCAACCCGTCTCTTTACTTAAACAAATATATTTCATATAGCAATACGTCTACAGGTATGTCTTCATACATTATAATATTATATATAGGTATAGTACAAAATCCTAAAAAATATTAAAAACAACATAAGAAATTTTTTTTAGCAAATAAAACATATTACCAATGACAGTTATATTGAAGAGACATAGCGCATCACTTAGGTATACATCTTGTACCCAGTACCGCACAGTATGAACTGTTCGTTTTCCATTTATGATTTCAAATCTATGTCCTGGCGAGTGTGATTGTTCCTTTGTCTTAATAGTTGTATAACTGGATGGATTTGGCTCTGTCCACCAGACCTCTGTGTAGTTTGTTCCTTGGTTTGTCCCCACAGTTAAGTCGTCCGGACATCCGTTAAGTTTTGGGTAATCTGGTTTTAATTCAAATAAAATTTTTCAAATAAATATATTTGTGCACGCCACTAAACGACTAGTTTAGAAACAATAACGCTAAAATTCGGAATGCGGGTGCATTTAAAGATACTTGAACATGTCTGCTTTACCAAGGGGAATACGATGGCTTACTTATCCAAGTCCTCCAATCTTCTAAAGTAAACTCATATAAAATATGAAACTTACATGGCTTAGGCCTACAAACAATACTAATAATAAAAAACAAAAGAGTGTAAGTTTAACCTTTAACATTAACTTGTGAGTGTGAGTGTTGTTATGACTGAGTTAGGGAATAACATCCACGCGATTAATATTAATAATAATATGAATAGCTAGGAAATTGTTGGTATTGATATTGCTAAAATTTAAACATTCAACAGAAAAAAAAGAGGATATGGGCACTTAATTTCAGACTCCTTGAAAACTCCCAGCCACAATTATACGCTTGGTGTCTAATTATGCATAGAGTGCATATGATGAGGATGATGATGATGATGAGAAAATATTTAATTATAATAAAATATAATATTTAATTATAGTAAAATATAATATTTAATTCGAGTTTTTTGAAATAAAAATGAAAACTAATCTTACCACAAGTAGCTTCGTCGATACCACCTTCGCAGTCATTGTTCCCATTACAATACAATGTTAATGGAATACAAATTCTGCCTTTTCCACAATCAAACTGATTGTCTCTGCAAGGTTTTGTCTCTGCAGAAGATGAAAACAAATGTTGAAAACGTCTTTACATGTGAACGAAGAATGGAAAAATACAAATCAACCTCTGTCAGAACTCAGACCCTATCAGAAGCTGAACTAATGAAGCCTTATTTTAGTAGCTAAATTCATATTATAACAAATGTACAGTATACAAATAATAAAGGGCTAAATCTGATCGAGTTAACACATTGTGGAGTATCTAGAAATATTGACATTAGAGGAACCTGGTGGGGGTGCGGAGGTTAAGTGGAGGAAATCTATGATTAAGTGAGGGTTGTTAGCTGGCAAAAATATATATGATGTGAATAATAATTATTTAAGCGCTTTGCTTATTTAACAAAATACCAATCAAGAGTGGAGAGCCTAAGGGGCGCAAGTTTTTGATTACGCCCTGCTTTAACAGTATTTTATCAAGGCTACTTGAGGTAATACTTACGGCATATTTCATCTTTCTCATCAGACCCATCTGAGCAATCCATAGTGCCATCACATTGCAATGAAATTGGAATGCACTCCTGATTATCACACTAGAATTCTGTCGAATTACATACTTTTTCTGGAAAACAGAATGCAACTTTAATGAGCATGTTGAATGACCAAGCGGTTAGGTCAGGAGCACCGCTACCATAGCCATTAACATCGGCACGGGTTCGCGGTCAACTTGTGGCGGAGCAAGTCTTCTCGGATAAGGACTACTAGTGTACACAAATGCTCATGTGCACTTTAAAGAACCCAGTACATCTTTCGAGACGAGTAAGGGTTTACCCCGGTGTACTGGTCCAATCGGCCCTATCGTGGACAGAGGAAAGTACGCCTGTTCACCGGCTGCAGAGGACATAAAGCGACCCTCAGGGGAGGAGAAAGCTATTGAAAAGTACAACAACTAGTCCGCTGCGCCTGATGATGTCTGATATTATTATTACTATTAATTATAAAAAAAAGGCGATTATATTTTTAATCATAAATCAGCAGTGTGTTGTGTACAGATTTAAATGTGACTTGTGTGATGCAAGTTATGTCGGATACACAAACCGACACCTCCACCAACGTATTGCTGAACATAAAAGATTTCTGTTAGGACAACATGCTAAGGACCATCATATCAGCCCAAGCAGTATTGAGTCATGTTTCAGCATTTTAAAGAAATGTAGGAACAAATTTGACTGTCTCATTCATGAAATGCTATTTATTAGACAATTAAAACCCAGTCTGAACCCAGCTCTGTCAAAGCAAAGCTTTTTATCTAACACAGGGATTAATATCCCACTGTTATGAACTTTGACATTGTAGATTAGCTTTTTTCTATTGATTATAGTTGCTGTATATTTTTTACTTCATCAATTTATCTTGAAAATGACACCATGAAGGAGTCGAAACGTCGATCTTTTTTTTAGCGTTATTTTTATGTTAAATATTTATGCAAAACGTACTCTTATTAGTGATTTTATATTTTACACTTATAAATAACTGTGTCCGATGCAATAATTTACCATCTAAATAATAAATATTATATCATAATTACCACTACCACCACCATCACCACTACCACTACCACCGTCACGGTCATCATCGTCACCGCCAGCACCATCATCCTTATAATCTGTAATTATAATGAGAAAATATGCCCTTAAGATTTTGCTCAAAATATTAAGTAACATTTACTGATGAGGAGACAATGAAAGATCCCCACCCCAGAGGGGGAAAAACCACAATTCGTCAAGGAGAAAACAAACTATATGTATTTTCTACATATTAGTGGACTCTAAAATCAATTAAATAAGCCTTTGAAATTCTTTTTTTCTTTCGAGGGCTTCCCCTTGGGCCACATTCAAGATATTTTGAGCGACGCCCAACTACACCCACTTTTCTCTCGTGGGAACATCGGCCCTCTCGTCGTGGACATCGCCCGCTCAGGAGACCCCTGACCCCGAAGGACAAATTCTGACGCCACCCCTGCCGCCGATGAATAAACATGGAGAAATATAAGAAAAGGAGCGTAAGGGTAAATAATGTAGTTTTTTCTAGAAGTTATTTAATTGGAAATGAAATTTAAATTTCAAACTTTTGCTATTGCCATACAATGTTATTAGAAAATAAGAACTAACATGATAACCAAAATAGAAAAAAAAAAAAAAGAAGAAAAATGCTTAAAATCTTTCTTTATTTCCTTAAATGGTTTTAATTTAATCAGAGGAAAGCATAATTTAAGATTATGTTATTACTGTTTTTCAGTTACAATACTGTTACTTGGCATTTGTAATGCGACTTTCCTTTAGATTGCAAAGCGCAAGCCAATTTTCTTCCAAAATTCAATTAAATCAAGTAATCGCTTCACACCAGTTCAAGAAAATAACCATAACATACCACCTTAATACAGTAAACGGAGAGATCAACATACAAAATGACAAAACAGAAACAAGTACTTAAAATTGAAGAAAACACACACACACAATAATACCTTAAGGCGAAAATACTGCCGCTAATGGGAACGAAGTAAAGGGGATTCGATTTTTTTGGGGAGAGGGGGTGGGGGTTAGTGGGAGAACGACAATCATCAAACATAAATCTTAGAACGTAATGACGTCACTAAAATCCGAATCTACGTTTCGCCGGTTGTGTGGAAAGCGAAGAACGGTCACGGAAGTGTTAATCCATTCTAGGGTACTAATATGTCTCGCAAATCTAAAGCTCCCTAATGTTTAACGTCTTCAATTTGGAATGACTCTGAATACATGTATCATGATGATTATTAAAGTTATTCATGGCAATGATTTTGATTGGATTGACCTACCTGTGGTGTAGATGGACTTTAGCCAATCACCGCCACATATTTCTCGATAGTTACCACTACAACCCGAATTGCATTCATGTTCGGGTTTTCGATTAATCTCTAAATATTCATTCATTCACCGACAATAATAACCGACCTGCAATCCAGCGTACGGATATCTGAATTTGTAACATTCCTGTATACACCAATCTATTGTCAAATTATTGTATTGTGGAACAGCTGAAGTCCAGGTGGTATCTTTAAAACAGCCATGGTAGGTACGGGCTATATAACAGAAACACAACGTTAAACTATAACTCACTATGTCTGAGAACTGATTTTGAAATTAGAAGGTAAAAAACACAAAAATCAATCGACGCTACTGAGTCTCAGTGCTGCAATGGTTTTTCTTTGGGGGGGGGGAGGGGGTGATGTGTTGACTTCAAACAATATGGCTATTCAACCCCAGAATGCCGAGTATGTTGCACTTTTAGTTTCATAATTTCACAGGTTAAGAGCAAAAAATTTCAAACTTTTTCATGCATTTCACGGTGTTATTTTGCATTTCACCTAGCTGTAGCAAGTTTAGGAGAACTCAAATTGCATTAACAAAAATGGTATACGATTCGGTTATTATTATTCTACATAAGTGTAGTTATATGTATAAAACAAAGAAAATAAAAAGAAAACTTACGAATGACAGTTATATTGAATAGACATTGTGCTTCCATTAGGTATACATCTTGTACCCAGTATTGCACAGTATGAACTGTTGGTTTTCCATCTGTGACTTCAAATCTATCTCCTGGCGAGTGTGATTGTTCATTTTTCTTAATAGTAGTTAAACTGGGCGGATTTGGCTCTGCCCACCAGACTTCCGTGTAATTTTTTCCTTGGCTTGTACCAACAGTTAAGTCGCCTGGACATCCGTTAAGTTGTGGATAATCTGGTTTTAATTCAAATATAAATAATGAAATTAGCATCTACTTGCACGCCACTGAACCAGGAGAAAGGGGGTCCGGGGGCTTTCCCCACGAAAAGTTGGATTCCTAGATGGCTGGAGATGAGCTTTCTTGACACCTCAGGTGTCAAGAAAGACTTTTAAGTTCTTAAAAAATCAAGGTTTCCCCTCTTGAAAATGATTCCATGGATTGATAAACCCCAAAGAGAAAGGAAAGTCCGGGTTCTCATTGGAAAATTTAGATTGCTAAATGGCAGGAAATTAGCTTTCCCGACTTCTGATATATCTTTTAATGACTTTTATAATTTCTTCAAAATTCAAGATTTTCTCCTCTTGAAAACGGTCAGGTAAAATTTTCTCATTCTTATTAAAGTAAATAGGCCTTTTATGTATGTACCGGTATAAATACATACAAAAAAAATTGAGTAGTTGCATACGCAATACTTTGTCCATGATTCGATGAACCCCAAAAGAAAGGAGGATCGGGGTCCTCCCCTTGAAAATTGTAATTTTTATTCCTAGCTGGCGGGAAATGAGCTTTTCCGATTTCTAATTTTCTCATTGTAACAGAAATAATTTTAGCTCACGAGTCCTGAAAAAGTAGGTCTAGAATGTTTTTTTTAATTTGTTTTTTTTTTGTCAAAGGGGACCCTCCCCCGCTGCTTTGCAACTAGTAACGCTAAATGTGGAATGTAGGTGCATTTAAAGCTATTCATGTCCACCTCATCAAAGGGAGTACAATCTTACTCATACAATTTCCTCTTTCAACCATAAACCTGTTACCAGCCTTCTTCCCTATATGAAGAAATCTAAATACTCCATTCTTTTCGTTTTAAAAAAGAGTATTTAGTTTTTATCTTCCGGCTCCCCTGAATATAATTTATATAATAGCCTATACCAAATTCCTAAGCTATGACCAATGCATGAAATGCTCAAAGTGCCCTCAATTCATTGAGTCAGACACACCTAATCATTTCATCGTTAGCTTCCATTCAATGCAGTTTATATACCGTAAAACCTCGAATTGAAGCCCCGTATTTATTTTTTTTGGAGAAATTTGGATGGGTTTCATTTCGAGGCTGCATAAAGAAGGGAGCTTCTTTTCAAAATGAATGTTGTAAATTTTGTGAATTTGTACTATTATGGATTGTATTTAACTGGCATTAAACTACCTAAACTACTGTATAACATTTATACAGTAGTTTGATTTAATCAAGCATCTTTAAAATTTATTTTGTTTTTTGGAAATTCATGTGCAGTGTAATTACTGTACTATCTCGAAACGAAGCCTTTGCTATCTTAAATAGAAGCCCATAGCGCTTCATTTCGAGGCTAATTTTGCAAAGTAAAAAGAGGTGCTTCAATTCGAGATGGCTTCATTTCAAGATTAAGCACACTGGGCTTTAATTCAAGGTGATTTACAGTATTTTATACCATTTAAGTAAATTTTTTATTTTCTATTCTTCATCATTTTGGCGTATAACCCACACATAACGTAAGTTTATATTTTTGTTTAAGAACCACATTGTTGTGGACTTTTTGCTAGTTTAATAATTTTATTTAGAAATACAGAATCTTTTATTATCATTATTGAATGATAGTTTAATGTATTTGCTTAGAGTTTACCTTTAATAACACGGAGCTGCATCCCAGTTCAATTACTGTTATGTTAATTAATCTAAATTCAAGTTGTTGGAATAGTTTCGATTAGGTGTATAGACAAATCATTACAAAGTATTTTTGATTACGATATTAAATGTATTTTAAGATAATGTTTTTGTAGTGCAAATTAGCATGTACAGTAGCAAAGCGCATACCGTATATGCATTTTAATGTTTATACTCCTAGTTCAGATGGAGTTCTTCAGGAGCACTCATGGACAGAGATGTACGCGGCTTAGGATATCAGCAAACATCTTTTCACAAGGCAGATCTTATTTCAGCTTCAGCACTTGGGTTGACTACATTTAGGAAGTTTTTCTATAGACTTTAGACTCCTCCTTGCAGGTAAATGGTCAACTAAGGGATGTTGCTTATCTGTGGATTGCCGATGTGGTTCTCTGCTATAATGATGATGGAATGTTTATTTTAAATATAATATTTAATTTTAGTTTCTTGAAATAAAAAAGAAAACAAATCTTACCACAAGTAGCTTCGTCGGTACCATCTTCGCAGTCGTTGTTGCCATTACAATACAATGCTAATGGTATGCAAAGTTTGCCTTTTCCACAATCAAACTGATTGTCTCTGCAAGGTTTTTTCACTGCAGAATACATAAACAAAATATTAAAAACTTCTTTACAAATACAAATCAACTTCCGTCAGGACTCAAAACTGACCCGAAACTCAACTAAGAAATCCTTTGTAGTAGTTAAATTTGCATTATGACAATTTTGGGGGAAGGAGTTTAAGTGAAGGGTATCCGTGATTAAGTGATGATTTTTAATTACATGAGCGTTATTTATTTTTCCTTTAAAAACTTAACAAAAAAGAGTAGAAGCATGAGGGGTGCCTTACGAACTATCATGGATACGGCACTCTTTTCACAGTGTTTTATCAAGGCAATTTGAGGAAATACTTACTGCATATTTCATGTTTTTCATCAGACTCGTCCGAGCAATCCGGAGTACGATCACATTGCAATGAAATTGGAATGCAATCCTGATTATCACACTGAAATGCCGTCGAATTACATACTCTTTCTGGAATACAGAATGCAATTTTAAGTATAGTGATAAATGCTATAAAAATATTAAAATCAAATTAAAATTTATCTTTTATCCTACATAAACAAGAAAATAAACTAACTTACGAATGATATTACAGATAGGCCTATGCACAATATGTTTAAAATACTGTATACGTTTCACATTATAGGCATATTGTTATTTTTAAATAACAAGTATATTACCAAATCCTACAAATATAATAAAATAAAATATTTACAGGTATCAACAAGGCAATAAAGAAGTAAACTTACCAATGACAGTTATATTGAACAGACATTGTGCATCTTTTAGGTAAACATCTTGAACCCAGTATCGCACAGTATAAACTGTTGGTTTCCCATCGTTGACTTCAAATCTATGTCCTGGCGAGTGTGATTGTTCCCTTATTTTAATAGTTGTATAACTGGACAGATTTGGCTCTGCCCACCAGACTTCTGTGTAATTTTCTCCTTGGTTAGTATCGACAGTTAAGTCGTCTGGACATCCGTCAAGGTGTGGGTAAACTGGTTGTAATTCAAATAAAACTTATAAAATTATCATCTGCTCGCATACCACTTAACGATTGGTTGCAACCAAAAAGGCTAAATGAGGAATGCGTGTACATTTTAGAGATATCAATACCAGCCTTATCAAGGGGAATACAATGGCATCCATTTAATTTATATATGAACCATTTCAACCTCTTATCAGCTTTTGACGTTCACCCCTCATATGATCAAAACTAATTACAAGTTATTTCAGGGAGACTGTTGTTAACTTTTGGTTTGTTTAAATTTATTTTATCTTAATGTGTAAAGAACACATCAAAAAGGTATTGGAATTGTGCCATGTGATTCCCATTAAAAGACCACTTTTAATTTTACAGACTTTTCTAACATATCAAATTAAATGGTTCATACATAATATTAATATATTATATAATTTTTGTTTACTTTCTCTCGCTCCTGTTTATTCTATGTATGATATTAATTTAATAAGAGGAAAAGCTTGATGTATGATTTTATTACCAAAATAAATTATCAGGTCCCAAAGTGGTCTCGAATTGGAGGGTGAATGGTATACTTGAAGAAATTATATACTTGATAAATTCTGAAATGTCTGGAATTTTGTATGGAAACATGTGTATCATAATGATCATTAGGACCATGAATATGATTTTGATTGAATTACCTGTGGTATAGATGGACTTTCGCCTTTTACCGCCACATTGTTCTCGTGAGTTACCACTACAAACCGAAAAGCAATCATATTCGGATCTTCGATGTTTCTCCAAATATTCATTCATACACCGACAATAAACACCGTGCTGCAATCCAGCGTACGGATATTGTAATTCGTAACATTGCTGTACACACCAATCTATTGTCAAATTAGTGTAACTTGGAACATCTGAAGTCAAGGTGTAATCTTTAAAACAGCCATGGTAGGCAGCTATAAACATAAACAAAACATTAAGGTATAATAACCTGAATAAGTATGAACAAATTATAACAATAATAAAAATACTATACTTAATGTCTGATTGTAAAACAGAACATATAGCTTTACCTCATTGCACTAAACTGATCAGGGAATTACAAATTAAAAATAGTGTAAATTTAAAGAAGACACGGAAACTACCTCGACGTCATTCAGACTCTAACTATGGTTACAATGGTGAGAACGAGGGTGAAGTGGATAGTTTTACGCAATGCGCCAATAGAACACAAACATGTGGCCCGTGAATTATTAATACCTTGCGTAATGTTTGCAATTGAGGGCAAAAACTGTTTAACATTTCACAATAATTTTTAGGTTTCTCCTAGCTGCATCAATTGTTAAATGCAAATATGGTTAACATATAAGATCAATTTCCCGTTTACAAAATATAAAAAAACATGTAAAATGACGTTATATTTTAATATCAACATCTTTGATATGGTCTTTGCTTGGACAAAGTTTGAAGCGGATCCAAGCACGGGAAGTCACAGTACTGGACAGAAAACTCAGTATAATGCAGAACAAATTGTTTTTCCCTTATTGACATACGGTAATGAGAAATGATATTGAAATTATATATTAAAACAATCTTATACATCAAAACAATTAAAAAAAATCAATCTTCTTTAATACTGAGACTCAAATTGCAATTGTTTCAGTTAAGGTGCGGAGTTTTTTTCGCATTTTCAGTTCGTCACCTTGTGTAAGTGCACAGGCTAAAATTGCTCATACATTTCACGGTAAATTTTCGTTTAACCAGCTATATACACTACCTAAAAACTTTTTAAAAACACTGAATACGTTAATATTAAAGTTTAATAATACCCGTCATTAATAGTTAAAAATTTAGAATGACTTCATATTCTATATTCTATAACCATCTTTAATATAATATATGGTCTTTGCTTGGACAAAGTTTGAAGAAGATCCAAGCACGTAGGAAAACGGGATAGAAGAAAACTAAACTATGTATGTTTGTAAAAGAGAAAACATAGGGCATCTCCTCATTAAAACAAAATCATAAACGCAACTATAAATAAATAAATATATATATTATCTAAATACATATATATTATATATACTTTATAATTTCGTTTGATATGTATGGTTTTGATAACTAATAATAATAATAATAACACATAATAAAAACATAAGTAAAGTCGAACATTAAGATCCAAGTATTGTGTGATTCATACTAAAATTGGCGAAATCGGCATTTCAAATATTTTTTGTTATATTTTATTTATTTTTACTTAAGAACTTCTTGTCATAAATCATATATCTGAGCCTATTAAAAACATCACTTGACACAAGTTCGAAATCCGGTTTTTTTTTCAGTTTCTTTACTCACAAAATGTATTTTATATAGAATTGATGATGATGAAGATGATTAGGATAATGATAGAACACATTGTTATTTTGTAAAGTACCAAAACCCTACAAATATATTAGAATAATTTTGTCTACATCAAAGAAAACAAATACTTACGAATGAGAGTTATATTGAATAGACATTCCGCTTCGTTTAGGTATACATCTTGTACCCAGTACCGAACAGTGTATACCGTTGGTTTCTCATTTATGACCGCAAATCCTTGTCCTGGCGTGTGTGATTGTTTCCTTGCCTTAATAGTTGTTACACTGGAGGGAGTTGGCTCTGTCCACCAGGTTTCTTTGTAATATTCTTGTTCGTATATACGAACAAATAAACCGACTGGACACCCGTTAAGTTGTGGGTAATCTAGTTTTAATTAAAATATAAATAATTAAATTGCCATCTGATTGCACGCCACTGAGCGACTATTTGCAGCCAATAACCGGGTGCATTTAAAGAACTTCATGTCTGCCTCATTAATGGGGAGCGCGTCACACAAACACAACGTGTTGTCCCACAGACGCAAGTGTTCTCGTATTAACATTATGGAGCTTTCGATTTGTGCGACGACGCGACGCCAGTACGGAATCACTCGTGCGTGACTGTCCTACCTGGCGTCCTACGTTCTCTGCATAAGTAGACTTGGCCAAATTGCGTTTCAGAATCTACTCGAGGAGGTGACTTTAACGTTCTCGCATGCGCAGATGATTTTTAGTGATGTCATTACGTTCTACGTCCTACCGTCGTCGTGCTGCAATCGAAAGCTCCCTACTGTCATCTTGTGGGACCTTAACAACAATATCCAAGGGCGGGGCTTGACGGAAAGTTCCATTGCAACTTGTAACCAGCTCCTGACGGTCACCCCACATAATATGACAAAAATTACTTAGTTTAATATTTCGTTTGTTTTAATTATCTGTATCGTATGTGTAACCCACACAACAATTTCTCGAGTTTATTTTGTGTAAAGCGCTTAGATGCATTGTTTTGTATTAAGCACTCTAAAAGAGTAATATTATTATATAATAAAAATAATTATGACAATAATAATAATAATAATAATAATAATTATTATTATTATTATGACAAACATTGAAATATGGAATTGTAAAAAAAAGACGTAAATGGTATTGACACCAAATCAGACGCCCCCAAAAAGTACCCTAGCCAAAATAATGGTTAGATAAAGCTATAAAAAACTTTTGAAATTCTGTTAAAAGACCAATACAAATGTTGACTAGACAAGTGGAGGAGAAGCGTAGAAAAATATCACTGATATCCTACACGCATCTATAATTCCACTATCGATATAAAATTGAAATATGGAGAAGAAAATCTAAAATTAAGATGACTTAAATGGTATGGTATCAAATGAGACCCCTGAAACCACTCCAGTCGCAAATGTACAACGAGGGATGTACAACCTGGAATAGCGTGAATGATGATGGGAAGTTTATAGCAAAATATCATATATGATAATATGAGTTTCGTGAAGTCCAAATAGAAAACAAATCTTACCACAAGTAGCTTCGTCGATACCATCTTCGCAGTCGTTGTTCCCATTGCAATATAATTTTAATGGTATACATAATTTATCTTTTCCACAGTCAAATTGATTATCTCTACAAGGTTTTGACTCTGCAGAAGATATAAACATACGTTAAAAACGTACACACGTTTTAAAAAAGAATGAACAAACACAACTTTCATCAGGTTTTAAAACCGAACAGAAGCTGAACTAAGAAATCCTCTTTAGTAGCTGAATTTATATAACGATTCATATAAGTATAAAAGGCTAAATGTCGTACATCTCGGTCACACAACGTGCCAGGAATATATTGACATCGGAGGAGACTAACGGGCGGAGGTTAAATGGAGTGAGATCGGTAATTATTTGAGGGTGAGTTATATGATATGTGGTGATTTTTAACTACATGGGCTTATTCTTTTTTTTGTTCAAAAACTTACTAAAGTAGAGAAACCCGAGGGACGCTGCACGACTTACTGTAGACACGCCGTTTAACAGTACCGGTACGTTTTATCAAGACAATATTTGAGGGTAATACTTACGGCACATTTCAACTTTCTCATCAGACTTATCGAAGCAATCAGTAGTATCATCACATTGCAATGAAATCGGAATGCAATCCTGGTTATCACACTGAAATTCTTTCGAATTGCATACTCTTTCTGGAATACAGAATGGCAACATTAATAATAACAGCGATTGAATTTAGTAAACATTTTATAATACATAACAATGCAATGGGATCGGAATGCAATCCTGGTTATCACACATTAAATTTTTTTTCGAATTGCATACACTTTCTGGAATACAGAATGGCAACGTTAATAATAACAGCGATTGAATTTAGTTAACATTTTATAATGCATAACAATGATTATGATTGACCTACCTGTGGCATAGATGGACTTTCGAAAATTTCCGCCACATATGTCTAGTGAGTTACCACTACAAACTGTATTGCAATCAACCTCTGATCTTCGATAAATCTCCAAATGTTCATCCCTACACTCACATGAAACACCGTCATGCAATTCAGCGTACAGATATCGAAAGTCGTAACAATGCTGTATACACCAATCTATTGTCAAATCGTATTTTGGAACAGCTGAAGTGTAGGCATTAAAACAGCCACGGTAGGTAGACCTACGGGCTATATAACAGAAACACAATGTTAAAAATAATAACCTGAAAAAGGTACAGCATTGTGAAGTTAACAGTAATAAGAATAATATACTTAAAAATAGAACAATAGGGTTTTCTTCATTGCTATAAAGAGTACTGAAAGGTTCGCTGATTAATCTCAGGTAAGATAGTATAATACATACTCCAAGTATCGAAATGCACGCCATTTAATTTAGTAAACATTTTATAATGCATAAACAATGATTATGATTGACCTACCTGTGTCATAGTTGGACGTCCCCGAATTTCTGCCAACACGATGGCGTGCATTTCGATACTTGGAGGTATGTATTATACTATTTTATAAAGAGTGCATTTATTGGAATTACTAATTATTGGATTTATTCGGTGTAAATACCAAGGATAACCAACGAAAGTTTGAAGAAGACTTATGGCATTTCCAGTAGATTCTGGTGGTGATTGGGCTGTAACACCGGGAGACAATTTCCTACTGTTGCCCATGTGCACGTTCTTTAACGTGCACATGTGCCATAATGCACACGGGACCAATGGCTTCAACGTCTTATCCGAAGGACGGTGCGCTATCGTAACTTGCATTTTAGCCCTCTAGCTGAAACACAAGGAGGGGCAGCAATGAGAATTGAACGGCGACCAAGAGATCTCCACGGTTCAGCTCACACACAGTGGCTACCACCAGATTAGCCGACTGAGCTTAAGCTGCTCAAACAAAAAAAAAATTAAATAAGTGAAAAGAGATATATTAAAATTTATACGAAAGTCACCTCGACGGTGAGACTGGAACTAGGGTTGCAATGGTAACAACGAGGGTGATGTGGATAGTTGAAAACCACGGGCCATGAACCAGCTGAGGGCAAAAATTGTTCATGAATTTCTCCGTATAGTCCAGTAGAAATATGTTTAACCCTAAATTGTTTTCTCATAAGGTTTGTGTAGTATTGGGTGTGCTAAGTAACAGATAAAAGTCTTACAAAATCCGACCACCGAAAAGTATTTTTATCACGATGACCGCCAAAATGGCCCTCTTAGAAGAGAGCAGCGAACTGAGTCAATAAATCATCTGAAACAATTTATAATACGACCTGATGAATATGAATTAATTCAAGATGCCATCAAAAATGGCTGTCGCGTATTAACAGTCATAAATCAGTAACTACTCAATCAGCAATTTCAATGCCATAATTTTTACATTTTATTTTTGGATCTAAGAAATGTACTATCTACGATAATATTGATTCAATTAGTCAAATAAAAAAATGATCATTGTTATCAAACAAAGAGGCTTTTTATGTATATTCTATTTAACTACGGATTTTTATTTTTTAATGTAAAGCGCGTTGAGACTTTTATTAGCAAAATGCGCTCAATCAATATCAAACTACACACAAGATCAAGTTAACATATACTTGTATCATCATTTTAGGTAGTTGTATTTGTATAGTGCCTTACACAATCGAGAGATCGTCCCAAGGCGTTTAAAATAGAAATAAGAGTGCTTTAATGTGAACTAAAACATGGGTTTCCTATTCGGTCGCTGTATGTCTTAAGGTTTATGTGAGGGAGGAACAAAACCGATGTACTGTATGAATGTGTCACAGAGCCAAAATCTATAGAATACCTCTTGCGATGCCCACATTTGGAAACAGAATGCAAGGCTGACGTACTTCACAGGTTGATGTACATGCTCACTTACATTGCAGACTTTGCATAAGTGATAGATGAAGAAGAAATGGAAAGAGATGACTAATTGATTTAATATAAACTACAAGACGTTAAAAAATAATATTAAGCCTGATCATAAAATTCAAGCCTCCTTTTTGGATAAAAAGGACCAGTTTTGTTTAGCCTAATTGCTAATAAATAGGATCTTAGATGATACCTTTCTTGGATAAAAAAAAAAAGAAGTAAAAAATGGCATTGAAATTCTTAAGATAATTATTTATTGATTTATGACTCTATATATAGCGGGCATCTTGGACAAATCTTTGCATTTATTTTGATTGATCAGACACATAAAACCTGACAATGATTAAAAAAAACATAAAAAAAACCCCGATTACAGCTCTTTTATGTTATGGGCGCCATTTTGGGGACGTCATCTTGGACAAATCTTTGCATTTATTTTGATTGATCAGACACATAAAACCTGACAATGATTAAAAAAAACATAAAAAAAACCCCGATTACAGCTCTTTTATGTTATGGGCGCCATTTTGGGGACGTCATCCTGTATTAAACCACTTTCCGGTGGCCGGAATTTGTAAGACTTTTTTCTCTTATTTAGCACATCCAGTAAAATCTACTAAATCATTAAAGTTTAATTACCTATTTATTAATATTCAGAATATAAAGAATGGCGTCATATTTGAATATGCACATCTTTGACATATTGTATTTACTTGAACAAAAAATCCAAACAAAAATAATGGGACATATTGAAACAATGCGGGAAAAGTATAAACAAAAAATCAGAAAAAAAACCTACGAATGACAGTTATATTAAACAGACATTGCGCTTCGCTCAGGTATACATCTTGTACCCAGTATCGCACAGTATAAACCGTGGGTTTTCCATCTATGGTTTCAAATCTATGTCCTGGCGAGTGTGATTGTTCACTTTTCTTAGTATGTGTTGCTAAACTTGACGGTTCTGGCTCTGTCCACCACACTTCTGTGTAATTTGTTCCTTGGTCTGTAATAACAGCTAAGTCGTCTGGACATCCGTTAAGTTGTAGATAACCTGTTAAAATAAAAATAATTACATCAGAATCTGTTTGCACGCCACTGAACGACTGGTTTGCAACCAATAACGCTAAATGTGAAATGCGAATGCACTTAAAGATCTTCATGTTTGCCTTACAAAAGGAATGCAATGGTTTATTCATCCAATATTTTTTATCAACCAGCTTTTGACGATCACCCTTCATATGACCAAAACCTAATTACTTTTGTTCTTTTTGTTTGGTACAATTTATTATTGTATATTGTGTGTGTGATTGCTTTTATGTTGTTTAGAAACGTATTTTCTCGACATCATAACGAAGCAGAGATAATTTGAGTTAAAGAGGAGTAAATGAGTAAGAGGGAGAGAGAGATAGGGAGAGAGAGAATTGGGACAATCACCAAACATTATGCACATGGAACGTAATGACGTCACTATGAAGTTATCTGCGAATGCGACAGGAATGTTAAGTTCTCGTGTTAGCCAGTTAGCCAATTCTAGGACGCAGTTTGGTTTGGTCCGAAACTAAGTTGTGCCAGTTGTGTGTTGAACGCAGAACGGTCTTGAGTGAATCGGTTCTATGGTTATGTTGTCGAGCAAATACAAACCTTTTAAAATTTATGAAAATGATTATATGATTTCCCTACCTGTGGTATATACGGACATTCTCCAACTACCACCGCATATTTCGCGTGAGTTACCACCACAATCCATATTACATTCATGTTCGGATCTTTGATATGAAGATGAGTGAGTAATGTAATAGTAGGTGAGTTCACTTATACACCGACAATAAACACCGTACTGCAATCCAGCGTAATTATAGCTTAAGTCGTGACAATGTTGTATACACCAATCTATTGTCAAACTATTGTATTTAGGAACATCTGAAGTCCAGGTGGTGTCTCTAAAACAGCCTAGGTAAGTACGAGCTTTAAAACACAAAAAATAATAAATACATTTTAGGCTTCGTGCGTCTGTTGTTAAAACAAAACATAGGGCTTTTCTTCATTGACAAATTAAGAACAGATTTTTAATTTAGAAAGTAAAAAGGAAATCACATTGCATTGCAATTGTTTTAGCCAGGGTGAAGTGTAGAGTTCTAACCATATGGTTGCACACTCCGAGCATCTGAGGTATGTGCATTTTTGCAAAATTAAAAACAAACATTACATTCATTTCAGATCTGCTAATATCCTTCCACTTTAATTCCGATTTTAATTAAACTTTGCTGTCTAACCTATAAAGCATTCTACAACATTTCTCCACACACTAAGTCAGTGCCCCCAAAAAGGTTGTTGACATTGGCCGTATGAGACCACACAAAAATTACTAAATGTGGTTTCCTCATTTTTAAGCCTTAGATTGAATTTTTTAAAATTGTCATGAGCTATAATTTTACTCCGATTATACGTTCTGCTTTCTCTTTCTTTTCTTTCAAATGTATCATTCGGAGTTATCCTTTATCTAATTTTCCGTAATATTCCCCATGGATATTTTTTTCGTTGCAATATATCAATTTTAAATTTAGATTTTTTTGTTATGTAAAGTAAATACTTTTTCTATTGTAAGTCTGGTTATTTCAAGATATCCTAATTATTTTCTCTTTATATGATCGAATATGTCCCTTCATTCTCTAGATTAATTTAGAGTTTCAATATTTGTCTGTTTCTTTAACATTTTAATATTGTTTAAACATTTTTTCCTTTATTCTTTATTTTATAAACATTTTTTTATATAAACAGTTAAATTTATTTCTTAACTTAAAGATCTAATAATTTTGATCGTTTATTCTTCGTCTTTAAGTGTATGTTTTGAGGGTCACAATTGACTATCTCTGACTGAACTGACCATCCTCAAAAAGTATATATACTAATAAATACATAATGGCTTTTCCGCTATGAGAAAAGGCCAGTAATAATAATAAAAACACAAGTAAAATTTAACATTGTGATCTAATTCTTGTACGATTAATACATAATTTGGGTTGAATTTGCTCATCTAATCTTATCTTTGTTAATTTATAAATATCTGGTCATACTAAACACATTAGAGTTCGAACCCTGGTTTAGTTAATTTGTTTACTCACACAAGTTTATTGGATATAGAAATACATTAAAAGTATAATAATAATAATAATAATAATAATAATAATAATGATAATAATAATAATAATCTTTATTTGAAACTTCACTTTTAAAACAGTGGCACACGATGACGGTGCGTTCATAAGAGTATAACATACAACATATAATCAAAAATAAAATAACAAACGGTAACAAATAAATTCAAATACAGCACAGAATTAAAACACAGCGTAGAAAACGACAAACAATAACTCTAAATTTTTGACCATATTAAAATAGAATAGCAGAAATAGATTAAAAATGTACTTAAAAAAAGGTATTCCTATAGATATAAAACGGCATGTTTAAAATTTTAAAGAATTAAAATTAATCAGTTGACAAATTTAAAACGTTTACAATTTCAGTCCAACAATATATGTCCCTACAGTTTATCGTTGTTTTGTAAAGCACAAATGTAGTACCAAATCCAATAAATATATTAGATAAAATTAAGAGGCATTTTTATCCAAGAAATAAAAAAAAAAACAACACTCACGAAAGACAGTTATATTGAAGAGACATTGCCCTTCGCTCAGGTATACATCTTGTGCCCAGTATCGCACAGTATACATTGTTGGATTTCCATCAATAATATCGAATCTATTTCCTGGTGAGTGTGATTGTTCTCTGGTCCTAATAGCTGTATTATCGGACGCAACAGGTTCTGTCCACCAGACGTCTGTGTAATTTTGTCCTTGGCTTGAACCAACAGAAATGTCGTCTGGACATCCGTTAAATTTTGGGTAATCTGGTATTCATTCAAATAAAAATAATTAAATTGGCATCTGTCTGCATGCCACTGAGAGTGGGTTTAACCTAATAGCAAAAAAAAGAAAAAAAAATAGGAAAAGAAAAAAAATGCGGAATTCAGGTGCCTTTAAAGAATGATCTTCGTGTTCGCCTTATGAAGGGTAGCACAATTGGCTTACTTTCCAATTTCTTTTTTTAACCATTTCAATTTATAGCCAGCTTCAGACTTTGCGAAAACAACTTTTTTTTCGTTTGTTTAAATTATCTCTTATGTGTAACCCACACTTCGTATTGGCTTGGACTTGAGCTATGTGAATCCAATTTGTGTTTTCTAAAAGAAATTAATGCAACAACATACTATCACAAAAATAATAAATATGGGTATTGATATAAATAAAACTCAATTGTGGAGAAATATAAAAATAAGTAGACTTAAATAGGATTGGGCACCTTACCAGGCTCCTTGAAAATACCCAGCATAAATAGTGATAAAATGAAACTATAAACAAGTATGTATATCAGTCCACTGTAAAGATAAAACTGAAATAGGACAAAAATGTAAATATAACTATTACTAACATGGTACGGGTACCTAAGGAGACTCTCTGACTCCCCAGTCACGAGTGTACAACACATGGTGTCAAACTAGGAATAAGGTCAACGAAGATAAAATGTTCGATTAATGTATATCAAAATATAACTTTATATATTTTTTTGAGTTCCAATTGAAAGACATAGAGAAAACAAATCTTACCACAATTAGCTTCATCGATACCATCTTCACAGTCATTATTCCCATCACAATACAATTTTAATGGAATACAAACTCTGCCTTTTCCACAGTCGAACTGATTACCTCTACAAGGTTTTTTCACTGCAGAAAAAGTAAACTATTGCTTTTTAAAACGTCTGTACATTGTAAACAGCAATGATTTAAAAAAAATCAACCTTAATTAAGTTAAATTTGTAATATGATAATTATACTTTATAAACATATAAAAGAAGTCTCTTATTCATAGCAAGAAAGAGTTAACAATAGAGTTATTGTTCGGTTTATTAATTCAAACACATAAAAAAAAAACATTACGATATGCAAAAAAAAAATTTAAAAATCCGAAATTTAACCTAATTTACAAAAGGCCAACAAAATTGCAGTAAAACAAAAATTAATTTAAAAATATGTATAGAAAAAATAAACTTTGGCATTCTGACTGCGATTCAAAAAATTAGAATTACACAAGAATACAATAGATACACAAAAATTGGAATATTAATTATAAAAAAATATATATTCGTAATAAAAACTAGCAAGCAGGAACAAGACGAATTACAAACAAAATAATAGACATTCAACTTTAAAAATATACTACTCGAATAAGAAAATATAAAGACAGGGATCTCATTAACAGCACAATATAATTAAATAAACAAAATTGGGGAAAGAGTTTGGCATTCCAAATTTGAGATTAGTATACTGTAGGCCTAATTCAAAACTTTAGAGAGAAAAAAAATAAATGAGCAATTCACCCCAGTTTGGTTCACTTCGATAGTTAGCATTTAAAAGACGAGTCAGATTTTTTTTTAACATTTGACATTGGAGGAAACTGATGGGGCAGGTGGTTAAGTGGAGGAGGTTTAACGATTAAGTGATGGGCCGTCAGCTGGCAAAATAGATTATATGTGGTGATTTGTTTTTGATGGATGCGCTCACACGACCCACCGTATATATACATCACTGCTTTAAGAGTGTGTTTTATGAAGGCACTTTGAGGTAACACTTACTGCATGCTTTAGATGTTTCATCAGACTGGTCCAAGCAATCCGTGTTACCATCACATTGCAATGAAATTGGAATGCAATCCTGATTATCACACTGATACTCTATAGAATTACATACTCTTTCTGAAAAAACAATGCAACTTTAATAATAAAAGCCATATACTTCAGTAAACATAAGAGCAAAGTCACATTTATTTATTTCATAATCAAACAAACGTCACCTAGGTTCAAATTGATTTCATGACAATGATTATGACTGACCTACCTGTGTTATAGATGGACTTATGCCAATCACCGCCACATATTTCTTGTGGTTTACCACTACAAACCGTACTGCACTCATGTTCTGGTTTTCGATAAAACTCTAAATATACACCCATACACTGACAAAAAACACCGTCCTGCAATCCGGCGTACGGATAGCTTAAGTTGTAACAATGTTGTATACACCAATCTATTGTCAAATTATTGTATTTTGGAACAGCTGAAGTCCAGGTGGTATCTTCGAAACAGCCATGGTAGGTACGGCCTACATAACAAAAACACATTACATTAAAATATAATAACCTAAATAAATTAATATTATGAAAACAATTGCGAAAAAAACAAAAATACTAGACTTACTATATGTGTTTGTAAAACAGAACATAGTGGTTTTCCTTGAGAACTGTTGTTGGAATTACATAGTAAAAAAGTCATTAAAAAGTTTTTAAGCGAGAATTACATGAAACCCACCTCGACGCCACGGTGACTCAAACCAGGGAACAGTAAAATTGCAATGGTAATAACGAGGTTGATAGGGAAAGTTCTATGCAATTCCAGTCATAATCGAATATCCACATATTTGATTTATGATCTTTTCTTAGACAAAAATTGAAGAAGATACAAGCAGAGAAAGCCACCAAAGTGCCGGAAAAAAAAAACATTAAGAAAAAAACTAAACTGTCTATGTCTGTTTTTAAGAGAGAAAATAGGGATTTTTCTCATTGCCATAATGAAATGTTGAAATTACATTAAGAAAAATATAAAAAAAATCATCATTAAAAAGTGTATATAAAATATTTTTAGTGGTCTACCTTGCGCTATGTTAAAATAAATCGAGGGCAAAAATTGTTCATGCATTTCACGGTAATTTTATATTTAACAGAAAAAAGCAAATTGCGATTACATAAAAGTTAATAATATTAAAAATAACTATAATGACGTCATATTTTCAAATACACATCTAAATGGTCTTTGATTGGTCAAAAGTTTAAAAAAAGATCCAAGAAAGGAAAGTACTCAAAGTTCTAGGCAGACAATTCCCAGTTTAGAAACATAAGAAGACGGAAAGAAGGAAAATTTCAAAACAAAAACCGAAGGTTTTTCTGCTAACGCATAGCTTTCTAACATATAAGTTTACATCATATTACGCACATTCAAATTAAAGGAAATGGTTGTCATTGTCAATATTACATCAAACATGAATTTCCATTAAGTTTCAAACATTTTTTAGTCTAAAAATATAATATTTTCAAACCTTTAACTGTCATAAAGAAGGAGCAATTTCCCACATTGCCAGCTTCATCAATTGCAGTGTACGTGATCTGATGAGGTATTTTACTGACCGGAAATACGTCACCAGGTTTGTAATTCGACGAAAGAGTTACTGCAGTGTCACTGTTGTCGGTGGCGTTTGCTGGTGACCAATATAATTTAACAGTTGTGGAGCCTTTATCTGGAAACACTGTCCAAGAGGAGTTAGATTCTCTTGAAATAATGTTGTTCGATTGTGTTGGGCAAGTTACAACCGGGATTTCAGTGTCTATGAATAAAGAAAAATAGTCTTTATCAGAAGCTTGATGACATACCGTACTCCTAGTATTCACACACGATGGCGTGGATTTCAATACTTGGAGTATGTATGAAGCAATTATACTTTCTTATCTGAGATTAATCAGTGGACCATTTGGATTTTGGTATACACAAATTCACAACATAGACGCATGCATGATTAATTTTAATAGACTCGCAAAAGTTCGCCGTTGTGAGTACTGGGGCGGGTCCAGGTATTTGGAGATGCACTCCTGTATATATTACAATTTTATATGACGTGAGGAACCGTCTTCTGTCTTATCACCCTCTCATATTTTGAGCCAAAAATAAGAACTATATTATTAGCCTAACAATTCCCCCACCTAAAACCAAAAAAAGAAAAAAAAAAAAAAAAAAAAAAAAATTCAAAATTATCTAGGTTTTCTATCTGGGTTTTATTACCTCTGCGTTATGTTCTAGAATTATTAACCACTTTTTAGGGATAGCATTTTTAACAGTCCAATATTCATTTACCCATTTACAGCAACATGTTAACTTATCTTTAAACGCTTTGGTTGCTGCTGGCTATTTATCAACACCTGTGCCCGCCAAAAGAGTGTGTTTGTAAAACATGTGCGTATTCCTGGTCTTTTTGTGATTTGTCAGCTGTTGGATTTGATTGTGGGCGCAAGTATATATGTATGTATGTATGTATGTATGTATGTATGTATGTATGTATGTGCGTATGTATGTATGTATGTATGTGTGTATGTATGTATGTATGTATATATATATATATATATCGTGTTACTTATCTTATATCCTATAGTGAACTGAAGGTGTTTCGATTAATAAAGACGGCCTCCACACACTAGGTTCTAGCACACAGTATTGGACTTAAAACAACTACAAATAAAATTAATTTATGCTTGAGTAATACATACCAACAACAGCAAACCGTAGAATACATTCATCTGTATTACCGGTTGGGTCTGATGCTCTTACTGTAGTTTCGTATGGCGGTAAACGTCTCATCGGAAATACATCACCGGATTTGTACGGAAAACTTGTGACTTGCGGAATTCCGCTATTATCAGTAGCAACCTCCATCCATGTGATTGAGGCATTCGGGCTTCCTTCGTCAGTGGAGATCAGCATAAAACCGTCTTCAATCTTATAGAAGTTAGATATGTTTTTTGGACAATCTTGTTTCGGTGGCTCATTGTCTATAATTAAAAATTGGCAAAATAGCCTTACGTTATCGAACCGCTAAATAGAATATATGTTAAAAAAATAAATGATGACTTTATTGTATTTATAAAACGATTATAAATAATAACAAGAATAATTATTATAATCAATAGAACTAACAATTATTACATAAATACGCCCCTCAGTACATAATTATATTTTTTTCTTGTTTGTTTCTATTGTTCTTCCACATGGCCCAGTCGTGCGTTATAAACTATGTCTAAAGCTTGTTTTTCACTAGGCGAATTTACTTGCGCGAGTCGACAGCGTCGGTTTGCTTCCGGAGCTCTGATTGGTTGCACATTTTTTCACTTCGCAAAAAATCCGATATAAATGTGAATGCGGACGCGCACGAATGCGCGCGAATAAATTCGTCTAGTGGAAACCGGCTTAATATCGAAGCTTATGGAATGGTGTTTTAGTCGTCAGAAAAAAAATCCCACAATCACAGAAATTGAACCCATGACCCCGCAATTGGAAGGCAAGCATCTTAAACCACAAATCTATTCAAAATAAAATAATACATACGGTTCAGACGTGGGTTCGTCTTTTAAAATTTCCATAACGTGAAAAGATAAGCTCTAAGCCATCATTCAATATTGTTTTATTTCAATTTGCAATAAAGAATATCATATCCGTCTAATATGATTTATACTTATGTATTCAAATATATCATAAAGCATATCTACTGGTATGTCATAAGTCGTAAATTAATATAAGAAATATATATTTTCGTATTTAAGTGTTTTTTTCCCTGTTTTTTAAAAATCTAGGCCTACACCATAAGGAGTGCAATCAAACCTACCAATGACAGTTACTGTGAATACACATTCACCCGAATTGCCAGAAAAATCGTCTGCCCAGTACCGTACAGTGTAAACTGTGGAATTTCCATCGATGAGGTAATAGTTCCAACCTGGCCAATGCGATGCTCCCCTATACTTTATACCTTTATTATCGTATGCTTCTGGATGCCTCCAATTGACTTGTTTGTAATTTGTTCCCGGGTTTGTATTAGCCATTATGTCGTTTGGACATCTTACAAATTCTGGTAATTCATTATCATGTTCTAATTCCAAAAAATAACGTTATACAGAATGAATATGTGTTTGCATATCGATAAAACATTGGTTGGCATCAAAGCTACGATGCAGATTGTGCTAAGGCAAAAGAAAACACTGTTGCCTACTTCTTCTAAGTGGAGGGAGATCAATGATAAGTGAGGGTGGGGAGGGTGTGCGTGCAAAAATAGATGTGTGATTTTTAATTTCTTTAGCTTATTTTTTTGTACACCAACTTTAACAATAAATAGAGGAGGTGGGTGGCTACGGGCGGATGCGCCCACACGGCGATCTTCCGCATACTACTTTATCAGTGTGTTTTATTAAGGCAATTGGAGGTAATACTTACTGCATATTTCATTGTTTTCATCAGACTCGTCCGAGCAATCCGTGTTACCATCACATTGCAATGAAATCGGAATGCAATTCTGATTATCACACTGAAATTCTGTTGAATTACATACTCCTTCTGAAAACAGAATTCAACTTTTAATATTAAAAGCAATTTTATAGTTTACACATATCTTTTTAATGCATTCCTTTACCATCAATACATAGTAATTATATCATAATTACCACCAATACCGTCACCGCTGCCACTGCCACTGCCACCGTCACGGTCTTCATCGTCACCGCCTTCATCATCATCCTCAGCTGTATTACAATGAGGAGAATGTTTTAAAGTGTTTACTCAAGACAGCAGAACTCACATTTACTGATGGAACAATTATGAGCGAGGAAATACGAGAAAAGAGTTAATAATGGATAAATAATTTAGCTATTTATAGAATTATAAAACTGGTAAATAAATATTAATTTCGCATATTATCGTCATAATGACAGCAAATCATGGCCATGATATATATGAGCATACTACAGTTTTTTTTTGTCGAATAAAATTTTATTTTCTGGACAGGGTTTTAGTCTGAAAAAAAGATATTTCCAAACCTTTAATTGTTATAAAGGATGAGCAATTTCCCACATTGCCAGCTTCATCAATTGCAGTGTACGTTATCTGATAGGCAATATTATTGACAGGAAATACGTCACCAGGGTTGTAATTTGATGAAACAGATACTACAGTGCCACTGTTATCGGTGGCGCTTGCTGGTGACCAATATAATTGAACAGGTGTGGAATCTCTATCTGGAAAAACTGTCCAAGAGGAGGTGGATGTTCTTACAACATAATTGTAACTGTTAAAGCGTGTTGGGCAATGTACAACAGGACTTTCAATATCTATAATTAAAGAAAAAGTATTCTTGATTACAAACAGACGCCTACAGCGCGTTCATACCGTCAATGCTTATGAGTGATGAACATAGTGATAAATTAAAGAAAGCAATAAAAAAAAAAGTAATGCTAATGAGAGAATTTTTTTTTATAATGATTTATTTAAAATTCTATCGCACTAAATGAAAGATCTCAAGTAGTCCTAGTAAATGTGTAAATCCAAAATTTTCCAATTATTGGAAAATAATTTTAAGAGTTGTTTCAGGGATTTCGTTTGCGAACGAAAGGTGATGAAGATGGTGTTAGGGAGTTAGGAGTTACATTTTATTGAAACAATATTGTTTGTTTGTGTTGGGAAAGTTACTGGAATTTCAATGTCTATGAATAACGAAAAATCGTCAATGATCAAAAACCTGATGCATATACCTATTCACACCATAAACGCATGCATGAAAGATGAATAAATCATCTAGATGTGTATAAGAGACAGTATATAGATTCAATCTAGTTCAAGTTACTAACGTCAGACTATAGATGATGATGAAATAGGCGTACTCCGTATATCATAAGCATTTTGCATATAGTATGCATGTTACATAAAAAAAACAAGCAAGGTCTGAATGCATATAGCTAAGTGAACAGCACAATCTGAAAAGTAACTACCTCACTGTTCACTCTATTCAAACATGTGTGATTGTCAGATATGTGCGTAGTCTTTGTTCTGTGATTGGTCGGTTTGCTTATGGTCTGAAGAATGGACGCAAATAGAGTGATATGTTATGTTATTTCATTACAAGGCCTATAGTAACATTGTCTTATCAGTATTCAAACCGAAGACCGTCCGATTACTACTTACATATGAGGCCAATTGTCTATATTAACTTTATCATTAGAACGCGGATTTTAAAGAAGGCATTAAGGTGATCCTCGGAAAGTGACCAAAGTACCGGACAGAATCCCTGTGTAAAAAACATAGGGAAAAGGAATGTAAATAGAAAAAATAAAAATATATACTTGTGTTATACCTACCAACAACAGCAAACCGCAGAATACATTCATCTGTGTTACCTGTTGGGTCTGCTGCTCTTACTGTAGTTTCGTATGGCGGAAAAAGTCTCATCGGAAATACATCACCGGATTTGTAAGGAAAACTTGTGACTTGCGGCATTGCGCTGTTATCTGTAGCAACCTCCGTCCATGTGATTGTGGCATTTGGGCTTCCTTTGTCAGTGGAGATCAGAAAAAACCCGTATTCCATGTTATAGAAGTTAGATATGTTCTTTGGACACTCTAGTTTCGGTGGCTCGTCATCTAAAATCAAAAGGTAGAAAAAGAGATGTGCGTTTATCGAATCGGAAAATAGAACAACATACAAGATAACTTATAATTGTATGTAAAAAACAATTGAAAATTCATTATAAATAATTGAAATAACGATAGAATTAACAGTAGTACAAGGTAGAGTACATACCGGTAGTTAATTCTTTTTTCTTCTTTGTACTGGGTATATGATGTTCTCTCACAGGGTTCAGTTTGTTTTATACAAAAAGCCTCATATCGAGGCTATGAAATGAAGTTGTTTAGTCGTGAGAAAAAAATTCTTGCTGTCACAGAAACTGAACCCAAACCCCGGCGATTGGAAGCATTTTAAGTACCAAGATATTCAACATCACCATAATACATTACATTTAGCGAATTGATGTTCATTTGAAATTACCAGTATTAAACTATGATTCAAATTGTTTTTTTTAATTTGAAATTAGAGTATCTTATCCGTCTAGCATGAGCAATTTTGTTTGTAAAAGTACGTTTGTGAATGTTTGTGTACTTCGTTTGGGAAACACAATCGTTTGTGAAAGTACGTTGTCCGTTTGTAGAAATACGCTGTTTGTTTGTAAATGTACGTTGCTCGTTTGTAAAAGTATTGTTTGTAAATTTCGTTGTTCGTTTTATTTTTGTATGTTGGCTGCGATTGCCAACCATACCAATGCTTTGTCCCAATATATTTTATAAAGCATAGGTATGTTATAAATCGTAAATTAATAAAACAAATACTTATGGAAAGATTTTATTTAAATCAAGGGCTACACAATAAAGAGTAAAACAAACCTACCAATAATAGTTACTCTGAATACACATTCACCGGTGTTTCCCGAATAATCGACTGCCGAGTACCGTACATGATGAACTGTGGAATTACCATCGACGAGGTAAAAGTCCCAACCTGGCCAATGTGTTTGTCCCCTATACTTTATACCTCTATTATCGTATGCTTTCGGTGGCCACCAACTGACTTGTGTGTAATTCGTTCCCGGGTCTGTATTAACAGTTATGTCGTTTGGACATCTAACAAATTCTGGTAATTCATGATCTGGTTTTAATTAAACAAACAGAAAATATTACCGTATACGGTAAATTACTTATTTGTACATTAATAAAACATAATAAACATGGACCAAGTGCTTATCTTATTTTAAAGAAACATTTTATATAAACAATATTATATAGGCCTAATTAATTAGGCCCACATGTTATGCATAAAGCATATTTGGCTTTTAAACCACTGATTAAACTTGATCAGGACTTTTTGATACTGTGTGCCAGTTTTCTGTTGTAGTAAGTGCGGGAGTAAGTGGTCAGCACATGCAATACGCATTCAAACCTGCTATGCGCGAAAAGATACAAAACTGGATAATGTATTATGACATAATGTATAATCATTAGGCCAAAAAAATGTTGTGTTGGCCACGTTTTGAGAAAATCCAAAAAATGGGTAGGTCGGTAGGAAAACCTTTATTTTTTACAACCAAATAGTATGTGTTTACGCCTAAAAAGTAGAAAATACACAAATAATACAACAATTTTAGATTCGCATCGCGTACCATCCAGCAAAATAGGCTAGCCTTGGCCCCCTAGCCTCGCCAACGTTATTCCAGCCTTATTTTCTCATAAAAAAATATTGTTTGTTGTCAAAAAAAATAAAACAAAAACTAAGATAACAATCCTTTGTAAAACTTAGGTCGGTCGGGCGTGGCCAACACAATATTTTTTTGGCCTTAATACTGTACACTCTCCGGAAAATAGCAAATGGTTGTCTCCGGTACGTATACATACTGTACCCAATTCACCACTGTACTGCGGATACGGGCTGTCTCCAGGATCCAAGGATTGTCAAGGATCCAGGATGACGAAGCCCTTCGATCCCGCTAGTTCCTCGTCGGCGTTCACTACTAATTAAGAAATGCTAATTAAAATAATAACCCATGATGATTTTGTACCTGAATCGCATTCCGTTTCATCATTGCCATACAAACAGTGCCTTGTTCCGTCACATACATAACTTGCGTGGATGCATCCGTCAAGTGTACAGTAAAACTCACCTGTATTGCATACACCTAGAGTTCCTGTATAGAGATATTGCTTTATTACTAACATATTGTTGTTGTCAGGTCTAAAAAAAAAAACACATTGTGCAAATAAAAAAGAAAAGAAAAGCAACTGTGACTGTTGTTTTTCTTCTTTATTGGTAAAGGGTTACAGTAGTATTCAACAACTGTGCGTGATTCATATAAAACTTGTTTGCTTGTCTAGTAGAAAACACACAGATCATAATCATTCGTCAACGTCATCCAATTGATAAATTAACTGTGATATAATATTATTGGCGATGTTGTATACAAAAGATAAGAGATGACAGACACTTGGCCCCAAGTTGACAGGCAGTGAGTGCGTACAGTAATCTTTAATACAGTAAACTCTAATATACCTAGGACGAAATTGAAGGTTTCAATATAAATAAGAAATACACATAGGCCCCCAACACACATTTGATTAAAATAGTTAGTTCTTGATCTTTCTATTTTAACTTTGAAAAAAAAAATGAATGTGTAGCCGCGTAAGTATGCTATAGGATGAGGGATGAAAACAGCGCGTTCGAGACTAACTATAAAAATCATTAGAGCTAGCATTCGTCCACACAGTGGACTTCATCAAGAAACTGTGTCACAGTCTTTTAGCGAAAAGTTACGGGATAAAGAAGGATGAACATATCTCTTTAGTAGGATTACAGTTCACTTCATGCAGTTGGAAACAATTGGTGCATTAGATAGACCACGACCACAACGGACCTTTCCTGAGTGTCAATCAAACTTAACAACTACTGTAACCAATCATATCTAGGCCGGCCAGGAATACACACCTGTACCCAAAACGTATGTGTGTAGGCCTATCTACGTTTACGCCGTTTTGTGGGACCAGCAACAATATACCGAGACGGGGTTAACCACCAATGGCGAATCGAGAAAATTTATAATTATGACACTTCTATATGGCCTGGAAATGCACACAGTGACTTAAATTTTGATTCAATATTCTTTTAATCTCCGTTTTTTTTTTATTTATAATTTTGACAAATTTGGACCCGGGCAGACAGGGTCCCCTCTAATCCGCTACTTGATATAATATAATATACGGTATATTTCATGTTCGAGGCTACTTTTGCAAAGTAAAGATTGGGGCTTCTTTTCAAAATGAATGGTGTAAATTTTGGGAATTAGGCCTACTACAATAAAACAATAAAGGCCCACTGTAACATCAGTCTGTATCATGGAGTGTATTAACCAGCATTAAATCACCTAAACTAGTGTATACGTGTTTTTAATTTATTTTGTTTCTTTGAAATTCATGTACAGTGTATGTAGGCCTACTGTGTATGAATCTTGAAAAGAAGCCAATGGGCTTCTTTTCGAGGCTACTTTTGCAAACTTAAGAGGGGCTTCAATTCGAGATGGACTTCTTGAGATTAAGCCGATTGGGCTTCTATTCGAGGTTTTACCTTCTGGGTCAGGGTGCTAGATCCAGGACAATATCGGTAGGAGCCCTTAGGGGTCAGAGCCCTGCGGACCGCCGCACATTTTTGTTGAAGTTAAAAGATGTATATATTTTAACCTTTAACTTAAAACCCATATTAAATACCGTGAATAACATAATTAGGAATATTTCACAATTCACTGAATAAAATAATAGCATATTAATATACATCATAGTATACGGTTTCGTGGATGGCCTTCGGAGCTTCCGTACCGGCGTGTAAATAGAATTTCACCGAGCTAATGCAAGCATTTTAATCCGTAGTTTAAAAAGGTAAAGGAAGAGGATATTCTAATGCTAGGTCTACCGTCGCACGGTGTACCATGCGAACAGTCACTTCTGCAACAGCTAAATAGAGGAAACAATCGGATTGTTCAAAGCCGCAAGTACTGTACGTCTGGTCGTTGAGGATTAGAAAATTGCTCCATATTCTTATATTGGATTGGCTTATAAATACTGTTCAACTGATAAATAAATAAATAATAAAATAAATAAATCAATAAGTGCATTAAAAATATCAATTTGTATATTTATGTACCACGCATGCCATTTTTAGATCACTCATTTTTTTTCTTGTTTGTTATATTTTAGTGTATTAGTGTGTGTATTCATTGTATTCATATGACCAATAAAATGAACTTGACTCACACGAAAAGAAACTAGAAAAATCTGCACCCTACGATTAAATGTATTGTATAAAAAAAAGTGAAAACATCGTGTACATCAATGATGCTGAGGCCCCATTACGTAGTAGAAAACGTTTACGGTGGGTCGTTATTTGCGTGGGTCACTATACTAATAGAGGCCTACTTGTTGTAAACAGGATGAAATAAAACATTTCTTATTTATAAAAGCAAAATGAGTCTTTTTTAATGCGTAGGCCTAATTTGATTTATATTTCCACATCTCCTATAGGCTTTAACAACAATTTTAAGGATGGTTATTTTTTTTTTTTTTTTGGAAAAAAAAATATTGTTAAATAGCAAATAGTAAATATTTTCATGAGGCTCCTGCTATGTAAAACTGTTTAAGTTTTTATGACAGCTCTTATAACACTAGTGTAACCTACATTGATGGCCTTCGATTCTTCCGTCTCAGCTCATACACCAGTGGGTACCAGCATGGAAGCAGTTCCATGGTACCAGTAAGGGCTATCACAGAGGCTTATAATAACATTGTTTGTTTATTCGACACGAGGAAAACGCATCAATTCTAGATGAAGGGGAAAGCAGGATTATAATTAAGGCTATAGAAACAAAGAAACAGGCTTTAATAAAAATGTGTAGGGCCTTTCATCCCTTTAAATTCACTTAAGCACTTGATAAAAATTTATTTTGGCCTCTAATATCAATCAAATTACTAAGTTCATTAAATGAAAAAAAATACATTATTTTATATATTATGAGTTAACACATATCTGAACAACACAAGGGAAACACATCAATGCGGGGTAAAGTGAAAACAGGATTGTAATCACGGAAGGTTAAACTAAGAACGTTTCAAAATATTTTGACAAAATGTTATGTTAAGGGCCTATAGGCCTAATACTCAGGGGCGGATTTAGAATTTTTCAAACGGGGGAGGTGGGCACAACAGTTTCAGAATAGTTGAGTAGCACAGAACATTGATTTGCATTGACATTTTTAAAATTTAGTGGCAAAACCAGGTGGGGGAGGGAGACACGCGCCCCCTGCCCCTACTTAAGCACTTGGTATTATTTAATTTGGCCTCCAACATCAATTAATTTACTGAGTACACTTGATGTTAATTTTTTTTTTTAAATCAGTAGTAAAATATCAAATTGTTAAGAAAAAACTTTAATCAATTAGTGTATCTACAGAGGTTGTAATTGTAAGAGTTGCAATATTTCATTTGAGTAAATCTATAGATAATTTAAGCATTTTATATGCTTTTATAAATTTGTTAAAATTTAAGTATTCGCTCATAAAAACCCAATCACGCGAGCCTCGTTCCTTATTGTGGCCCTTTACTTTTATTATGTTTAAACATAGGAACGAGCGATAAGGCGTCACTAATATTATACGAGGTGGTCCGATTTAATGGCTATGGCGTACTGTATATCATTTTCATTACAAGGACAATCGTAAAAACAACTGCTAACAGCATCCGTAACAAAATATGTACACCTTTCCAAAGCATCGTCAGCGTATGTATCACCTTCACTATTTTAGTGACGGTTTCTTGCTGTTTCTGCCAGGGTCCATGGCGCCGAAGCTCCAATATTTTTGGAAACGGTTGGGAGGGGTGTTTCTGGGCAAAGGGCGGTGCCAGATGGGTAAAGGGGCAGCAGGGGCTTACGCCCCCAATCGGACAGGTCAATCTCCCCCACCTGTCAGAACTCGTCGGGCAGTCGGGAAAAAAATAGGCCTAATGAAATTAAATGAAATGCGTGTTTATTGAGTAGAGTTTGAGAGTATACAGTAGTAACAATTTTATTTTATCAACTTCACATTTAAAAGTATTTTTCAAGTGCCATTTCCGGCCATCTAGAGGTCCTTTTGTTTTTGTTTTTGTTTTTTTAAATCTCATTAGCTAGGGGCCCTTACCCGGCTCGGTCAGAAGACCCCCGGATGGTGATCACGCCAATGTTATCCTTATCTCACTCAGCTCTCCCCTCCCCCATACCTCACATTCGGACACTAGCTAAGTCCCCTAGAAAATAACCTACAACCGCCACTGTTTCTGAGGCGTAGCCACCTGAAGGCTTGGATAGAGAGTGTTTGCTGGTGAGCTTCCGGAGCGAGAGACTCTTTCGCCATCTCTGGATCCGCCACTGTAATTAACCACTAATAAACTTCATCAACTCTTGTCATAAAATATACTATAATCTTACTGTGCTACACCTTAACTCTTTTATTATACTGATCGAAATTACGATCTGTTTAATCAACCCGTTACAGCTGTTAAAGTTGAAAAACAGTTAGCTCAACAATTATTGACTACACCATACGGGTCAACTTAATCATTTATTCTTATAAACTTAAAATAGTTATTGAAACATGTAAACATTTACAAATAAATTCTTGATTATATTTAGACAGTACGGTATATCGCTAGTATTTTATAAACCTAGGGTGGCAAGGCGAATACCCGAGCATGAACAATAATGGAAATTTAACTCCTGGACCTTAGCGGCGCGATATTATTATTAGAGTACCTATTTTCGCTATCGTATCCGTTAATGTACAGGTGACATTATCTGCACTTACAGATCTATTCCAATAGGCCTACAGGGGCGCAGCTAGAGGGGTGTCAAGGAGGTCCTGACCACCTCCTTTTATTATGATTTACAGAGTAACTACCGTGACCCTTGTCTCAGACTCGGTGCACACGCCGTGTCATATAGAAATCTCGAATGTTGTGCGTATACTTAATATTAGAGTACCTATTTTCGCTCTCGTATCCGTTAATGTACTACAGGTAACATTATTTGCGCTTACAAACATATTCCGTGCGACCATTTCCCTTTAACGTCCACTTTCATAATTATGATCTCTTCTGATCTCCCTATATTCTAATCAGTGCATTGATACCTCTCGTAAGTCACCACACCTCCCGTAAGCGTATTTTTTTTCTGCAGTACACATAAGCAAATATATGTTTCTTTTAGCCAATCAGAATGTAGGAAGCCTAAAATGACGTCAGATAACTATTGAATAATTAATCAGACGTCAGACACAACTTCTT